GAGCAGAACTTGTTGTATTATATTGATACGGTGCCAATACTGCTTGTTGGGCACCTTATAGACAAGTGAAAAGGTAAGAGACTTGCCCTAGATAGCTAGAATTCTGACATAATGGGTGCGTCTACATGTGCAATTAATATGAAGCAAGAAAGTTTTGAGCAGTTTGAGCCAGAGTATACTCCCAGGCACAGTGTACGTGTGTGCCTGGGACAGCAGCAATTTGAGTCAGGGCATATCAGGCCTGGGCTAGCAGGGAGCACAGGAGGGTCAGCCTGGGGCATCGGGTGTCCGTGTTGGGTGGCAGGGGGGCTGCCTGGGGCACAAGGCTACTGAAAGTGCAGAGCTGTGTGACTGGTGACAAGCAGGAGTCTGGCCCCCAGCTGGCTGGGCTAACCAGGCACAATTTACACCCCTGGCCAGTGTCTACACATGTGTTTAATTAGAGTAAGTTACCCCAGCATAAGATAGTACTGTCCCCAACAGTACTATCTTACAGTAGCATTAATTAGTTTACTGTGGCCTAATACCATCTCGTGTAGATGGTGACACTTTAGTCCACAGCTAATTAGTCCACTCTGCAGTTAAGCACATGTGTAGATGCAGAGCAATGGGAAGTGATGAAACTTATCCCTGAAACCATTACCTATGTTTAACTGTCTTGCTAACTAAACTAGTGCAACTGGCTTTCTTCTAGCCTCATACCTCTCCAGTCCATTTAGCTGCTCCTTCTGAAATCTTCTTCCTTTGACAGTTCTGACCAGGTCATAGAATCATAGTAAAATAAAACTGGAAAGGGGCCTTTTGAGGTCATCTAGTCTAACCTTTTACTCTAGGCAAATTCATCCCTGTCTAAACCGCCCCAGACAAATGTTTGTCTAGTCTACACTTAAAAACTTTCTGTGATAGAGATTCACAGCCTTTTAAACTAATCTGTTCCAGTGTTTAACCACCCTCATTGTTAGAAAGTTCCCCCCAGCACTCCATCTAAGCTGTGTGGCATGTGCGGCCGCACAGGTGCGCCTGGCAGTGTAGCATGAGCATGCCTGCGTGGCCACACATGCCATGCAACTTAGAGGAAACACTGGTTCCGCCTCATTTTTAAACTTAAATGCCCTATGTTGCAAGCTTAACCCATTATTCCTTGTCCCCAGTAGACACACAGAACAATTTCATAGTTTCATAGTTTCTAGGGTCGGAAGGGACCTGAGTAGATCATCTAGTCCAACCCCCTGCCATGGTAGGAAAGAGTACCGGGGTCAAACGACCCCAGCAAGGTGTACATCTAACCTACTCTTAAAGACCCCCAGGGTAGGAGCCAGCACCACTTCTCTTGGAAGTTGGTTCCAGATCCTAGCCGCCCTGACAGTGAAGTAGTGCCTCCTGATATCTAGCCTAAATCTACCCTCTGCCAGCTTGTGACTGTTATTCCTGGTCACTCCTGGCAGT